TTCCCTGCTGGGAGCTCTGAATCTTTATTGGACAGACTTTTACACTGGAAATAGTCACTACAAAAGAATAAGTTGAAGTCAGTCATACGCATGGCTTTTCCTGTGAGAGGTTTTATTATGTCTTGGTTATCTCCAGAGCTTGTGTCCTTTTTGCAGAAGGAGAGGGGCAGACGCCCCATTTTGAAAAATCTTACTCGGACTTCTTGCAAGCAAATGCTTTGCTTTTCTTAGTGAAACATACACATCTCTCTTCTCTTTTTTTTTTTCCTCTGCATGCTGCTTTATTTCTTTCATGCACCTTTCCTTCGGCCATTGGTGGATATTGTTGCCTTTTCTCTCCTCTTCTTACAGACATACTGAAATCAGCTCTTTCTTCCTTATTACATTTACTTTTCAATACCTTATTTTCCACGGTAAAGTTCAGTATATCCATTTGCAGCAGAAAACGAGCACCTTCTGCCTGGCTATAGAGAATATTAAAAAAAAATGCTTGTTTGATTTGCTTAGTTTAGTCAAAAAGATGCACGTTTTCCTTGTGTTGTATTTTGAAATCTGTCGTAATGTACCAAGATATTACTGCTAAAATTAAGACCTACAGAATGAGCTGCAGCGTAACTTCTGCAACATAATTTGTACGCTTAAAATGCTGTCGGCTCTGACTTGCTCATAATGCACAGGAAACAAAGGGGTGTTGAAAGAAAATGAGTCAGGCTGCGTGTAACAGTGTTCACATTCAGGAGGTGTTTCAAAAAGAGCATGAGAGCAACACCATGAAGACCTGGGCCCTCCGTGCAGCAGGCTGGCTGGCAATGTTTGTAGGCATCAACCTAATGACCCGAATCCTTTACACTTTGGGTAAGTTTGTTACAGAAAGGTACCACAGTTCAGAAATAAGATCATAATAGCTGGAGTTTAATTACAAATGTGAATAAAATAGATTAATTTGGAGGGCAGGAAAAATCTGGTTTGAACTCACATTGGGCTCTGGATCTGAAAGTTGCTAGACAACTGCAGACAGTAAACAGGATCCTAGAACCAGGTGGCTGAACATAAAATATATATATATAGTATATATACATTGTGTGTGTGTATGTATATACACACACCCCAAATATATATATATATATATATCTCTCTAAATAAAATAGCTATTTGCCACTTAGAGGCTCACAGTGCTTACCAAAATCAGAAGCCAAAGCCCAGGTTGGTTTGTTTCTTTCTTTCAAGTCGAACTCCAGGTGCTGCAATATGATTTTAAACCCATATACTAAAGGTTCCCCCAAAAGAGGTCTTAATTAGCATTATTTCTTTTATAGTAACATGTCTACACTATTGTGAACACACAGCAAATAAGGTTTTGGCTTATTCTTTTAACTTACAAAAATGTTGGAATAAAAACTTACAGAAGAGCTGTAGGGTACCTCAAACTTGCATAAATTTCAAGCATCAAAGCTATCGTGTGTTTTGAAAGCAGTTCTTAATTGCTGGAAACGTGTTTTGTAGCTGTGCGCTCTCTCTCTTCTTACTATGCATATACATGCAACTGCAAGATTTATTCTTGTTAAAAATAGCTTTTTTGTGTGTGTTTGCATATCATAGGATAGCCTTATAGGCGTGGAACAAGTCTAGGGCATCTGCTCTGCCTCTTAAGCCTTGGACAAGACTTTTAACTTGCTTTTGGGGGACTTCCTATCTGAAGAGATGGGGTTACTCATCCAACCCCAAGAGATGGGGATGCTCTAAAGAAAGACATTATCCAGTACCCCTTGCTATTAATTTGAGTCTTTCTTCTGACCACAACAGTTAGCGTGCAAATTCTAGGCATGAATTATTAGCCACATAGGACCTTCTGGTAAACGGTCATCTTGTCAACAGCTTTATCCTTTGTTTAATTCTTTCTGCAGTGGACTGGTTTCCTGTTGTGAGAGATCTGGTTAACATTGGATTAAAAGCATTTGCCTTCTGCGTCGCCAGCTCATTGTCGCTCCTGACAATCTCCATTGGCTGGCTCTTCTACCGCCCGCTCTGGGCTCTGCTGATCGGGTTGCTCTCTGCAGTTCCTATTGTGATCGCAAAATCTCGCGTTCCACCGAAGAAGCACCAGTGAGAAGAGGGCTCTCGGGTTTTGCACTCAGTCCTGGTTAGAACCTTTTTCAAGTGCATTTCTGTTCCAGTTACTGCAGCACGCTTACAGCCCATCACAGTTTGGCAATGTGCACCAAGAGCTCGGGAGGGGGCTGGGGATGTGATTGTTGACACACTTGTTATCCAGTTATCCATGAAAAATAAGACTATCGGAGGCTGCTTTGTAGGAAGTTAAAATTGACTTCAGGAACAAAGCATTTTGGAGTGTCTGCGTTCTTTATAAATCAGCAAAGAAGCAGATTTTCTCTTACCACTTACTAATTTCCTTGATTACTGAGAACTGGTTAAGTCCTCACTGACAATAGGGTACTTTGTTCTATAGGGTGAAAGGGTCAGGTTGATCACACGGACTGTCATTTGAAATCCTTAGGAAATGCATGTATGTACCTCTCTTTGACAAACCCTCCCTCTGCCGCCTTATTTTGTATACATGCAGTCATGTACACTTCTCTTGCTGGTACATTTTGAAGTGTCTGTTTTCAAAGAAAAACCACAACTTGTCTGAGATAAACAATACTTAGGCATAATGTGCGCTTTTGGACTGAAGATTTAATTTAACAGTAACTTGCAGTCATGAGTGGCCAGGTTAGCAGTGTTCTAAGGCAGGGCAGACTTGTCAGAAAGCACTGATTTCCCCAGCTTCTTAAAAACCTCTGAAACTGTTGGTTAAAGCATCTAAGGTGGTAGTGTGGACTACACCATTGCATAAATATTTAAAAAACTTAACTTGAAATTGTGCTCCCTTAAAGGGATACTGAGAGGTCACTTGCCTTTAACTAGTCTTTAAAAATAAAACCTGCTGCCTTGAAACAAAACTGATTAACTTTTAAAATCTAATGTATGTTATTCTTTAAAATATTTGGTGTTTTTCCTACGCATACTGTTTCTTTTTTGAATTTCACTTAGCGAAGACAATGAAAATGCTCCATGAAATTCAACCATGAAAGCATTTTTGCTTGATTTCGTAAAGTTTAGTAGCCTAAGTTTTGAGCTTTATATCATGTTAAAGTAATGCCTTCATGTAGTATTGTGATTACTCGTGTTTACATTTTTCTGCTGTCACCAGTATTTGCAGTTGGAAATGTTCTAGTACTGTGTTTCAAGTCTGTCTCTTCCTAGCTATAGTCTAGCTTCCAGATGTGCCCTGCCTACATGTCAGTGTTTTTTTCTGTAAGTATACATAATTCAGTACACAAATGGGAAATGTCTTCAGTGAATGTATTTATGAAGTCCAGTTATAACTGTCAGGAGAAATGTGTTCCCCATACCGAAGGAACTTACTTGAACATATGTGGAAGCAAATGTTTGCCAAAAAATGGTACTAATAGAGAATTGATTTATAAAACAAATGTTTTGAAAAGTGATTTTTTTTTTGTTTTAGCCTTAATTCTTCTTGCTCTTCTGGTGTTTTAACACTGTCAGTTCAGCCTCAAATTCTCATGGCCCTGTTCTGCTGGTGAAAGCAGTAGTAGTGAGTGTAAGGTTATTTGAAGTGCAAGAAATAGTCTAACGCAAGGAATGTGTTAGGGAGACTGGGCAATCTATTTATGCCACTCTAGCACATCTTTTGCCCCATCAAATGGGGAATTGCACTTCACTGAGGAGAAAAACAAGTGTCAGGCTGCTGTTTTACAAATGATGCAGGAAACTACAACCAGCATTACCCTATTAGAGATGGAGAAATAATTTTCTACGAAGTGCTGAAGTTTTGTATATTTAATAAAAATGATTTTCAAAAGGTTGGTCTATAGGCTTTTCTTTTGATTGCCTTTAAGCATTATGTATTTCATTTCAGGTCCTTGGACAGTGTCAAAGTACATGGAGGAATACAGTCTGTAGCTTGCAAACTAACTGGTTTTCTACCGCTATTTTAGCTAAATGTGCAGTTAGGTTTTATATAGCCTGCAGATATTTTTCCATCTTGGGAAGCAAGTTCCCAGTAAACTCACAGCTGCTCTCTGGTCCACATGCTTCTACCTGATGACAGGTTGATCCCAGGCTACTGAGGTCTTATTACTTACTCCTCATTACTTATTAAATAATGGTAACTTCCTTGCTTCCACAGAGATCATTTGAAAAGTATTATGGTTCAGCTTGACTTGATTCACCATCTTTTATTTTCAAGGGGACTGGAGGTTTACTGATGCAGTCAGCTGCTTAAAATACTTTCTTCATATATACTGGTTTGTGCAGAGGAATGATGCAAAATAAAATAGATACCTTTCACAGGAAAGAAAGTAGTGTTTCCCGTGACAAGCACTGTGGAGGAGGCAGGGCTTGCTTTCATTGCATGTACACTAATAAGGTTTCTATAGAAACAGCTGCAGCAATACTTTTTTTGCCTCTTTTCCAAAATTTGACAGGACATGCACTTGATATGTCAATAATATTCTGTTTCTGCTTTGCTCTCCCTTAAGGCATATTTACTCTATCTTACTTTCCGCATCTTAAGTTAGCGTTGGCTCCTTGTACAGCTGAGAAGGAAAGTTCCTGCCTTCTGAAGTTACTCTTCCATTGCAGACTATATATGGTGGCCAGCTTCATAACTTTGGGTATCTGTGTGAAGTGTCCCAAGTTAGGAAGTGCAGAATTGCTCTGCTATAGCTGGTACCCGCTCCTATTTTAAGCGGGTGAAAAATTACTGATGTCAGCAGAAACTGGACTTGAGTCCTTACATTCAAAGTATTCATTGCAGCGTGTATTCTGCGTATCTGTACCATGAGTAACACAGGAGAATACATGTCTTCAGCCTGCTGTGGTTCTACCTGCTCATGAAAGGGTTAGAATTTTTCTGTTATATACAGATTATACCCAAGAAAGCCCCAAGCCTACAAGTTAGGTTGCTTGGTTGGCTTTTTTTTATTTTGAGTTCTTAAGAGTTTTTGTTACTGTATCCTTTTTTAAAAAAAAAAAAAAAAAAGACCTTTAACATTAAAACAATTCACTATCAGCCAATGCTGGGAGATTCTGGGACTCGATCTGTAACTTTTGTTTTTCTACCATAGTGTTTGCTTGGTTGTTTTGGCAACAGCTCAGCGGCTGTGCTCTTATCCTTGTATGAGAATCCTTCCTGGTAAACAGAGCTGCTTATGGAAAAAATGAGCTGGCCAGAAGGGAGAGGTAGAAGACAAGATTAATCTCTTTTCATAGTTTATTTTGTTTTGCATATACAGTATAAAAATAATTCTTTTTCTTATCATTTTTAAATGAAAACCATTTTCTTGCATTTCAACCTTTTCCCTATGACAAATGTCCAGCAACGAATGGACTGTATCTCCCACTATTTTTAAAGAGACAGTGTTGGTGGCATTTTGTCCTAAAAAAAAATCACTGCGAAAGACAGATCAGTAAATATTTCTATTACAAAACTGCAGCAAAAGCTTGTGTAGATTTAACATTCCTCTCTTAACAGTTTTCAAGTGCTTAGATACTAGATAACATTTACAAAAGCTCAGTTTTCAATGAATTTCACTTCTGCCAGTGATACTCAGCCAGTTTTAGATACTGTGCTCCAGAACAAAACCACCTGGTATTGATACAAAACCAAACCAAACACATACATACAAACAAACCAAACCAAAACACATACATGTATTTTTTAAAATGACTTAAGATGCCATGTTTAACCTGATGTTTGAAACGGGGACAGGGCTTCCCTTTTTTTGATCTACAAGATTTCTGATCCTGGGCTGAAAAGCCAAATCTGAGTTTTCACAAAAAGTAGGTATTCTTTAACAAGTAAATTTTCAGATTCCTCCAAATGCTGATTGCATGTGTCTTCACACCTTAGGGAAAGTGTTTCCCCCCTCTGTGATAAAGAAGCTATTATTGAGACTAGAACTCTACCTTGCCACTGATTTGGATATGATATGAATGATTATCATCATATGATTATATCATATGATTATCATCTAAGGGGACTTATCCCATTGGGCAGCTCACCTCAGACAGTTAACTAGCAGCTGCATGTTTCAGTTCTGAACAAGCAGGAAAAAATTGAAAGATAAGAAACAGGAGGAGACAGTTATAATGAAAGGAATGCCAAAGAAAACAGATTTATTTGCGTGCTGAGTAATACTTATAAGAGGGGGTAAAAAACCCAGCTGTGCATAGATAGTGATCTTCTCAGAAGATACAACTGCACATCTGTTCCTCATGACTCCAAAGATAAAAGGATGAACATAGTTTTCTGTGATAGCAAAAGAAACTCTTGATGCCGAACTAGAAGGTTGGTCCCTGACAGCTCAGAAACACAAGGAAAGCTAAAAGTCCTTAGCTGGCAAAGCATACTCCTATTGTGACAGCATCCTCCCTTGCATCTGGAAATAGTAAAGAAATGCTTGTTCTGATCACAGCTTCTCAAAGGGAAACAACTGTGCTGCTTCTCCTTTCTTTTCTCGCTTGCTCTTCCTGGTTGTCTTCTCTTCCTTCTGCCTCTCTACTTGGCGATTCTGGGGCCAAGAAACAGCCACATCCCCTACTGCAGTCTCTGAACTTGGACCTCCTTCTTCGTCAGAAGGAAATCCAGCTCCTTCCTCTGCCTCATGTGCCGATGCTTCAGTCTGGAAAAAGCAGGGGTGAAAATGGAAAAGGAGCTCTGGAAGTCACTCTTAACTGGCCCTTTCTAAAAAGACTCGTCTTCAGTCACAGTGACGCTTACAGACATTACACAAGTTGGTTGCTCTGCTCCGCTTTGGGCTTCTCATCCAAAGCAGTGTGAGGAGTGTGTTTCTCTTTCTGGATGTTAAGCAGTCTTTCAACACAAGCAAAATATTTTTGGTGGTGAAAGAATAAAAAGAAACGAGCTTTAAAAAGCTCATGCTTTTCACCTTGCACAACGTGGAAAAAATTGCTAACTAAAACACATGACAAAGAGTAGCTACTCTCATTCTGTTAGCTACATGCTTGGCCTGGAGGAAGAATTCACGGAGTGGGTATGTCAAAACAGAACAGCAATATAAAACAATGATGCTTTGGAAAACACTAGTCTCTTGTTAAAACAATAACAAGACTTCCACAGACATAACTGAGATGAATCTCTGATCTAGTTTTTTCACTAGTTGCTATTCACAAGTTAACAACAGGAAAGAAAGATTATTGAGTAATTACATTCCAGAAGTCCTGCACTCTACCAGTGGAAATGTAACACACTGGAAACTCTGGGAAAAAAATCTCTTGACATGGAAATATCACCCTGCAAAAGAGGTTACTAATAGCAGATATGCAAAATACCTTGATGCAGTAGCGTTGCTTCAGTCTCTCTCGGATGAGAAGTCCCTTTGTCAGTAATTTCCAATTCCCCAGAGCCCTTTTCTCACGCTTCTGTATGGGGTTGCCATTGAAAAGAGAAAACTTTACTATCATAACTTCCAATGTATTTAGGCCCACAGAAAATGGAAATTTCAGGAGTTAAAACTGCCATTTTAAAAATTCCACCAACTTCGATGTGTCACGTTACTCCCAAAAATCCTACTTGGCTATTACCTTTTAAAATCTATTGCTGTCCAGTTATCTGTTTACATACGGATTACTGTCCCTTTTTAACATGTGCCCTGACCGTGTAGATCACACTCCCCCAAAAGTTTATCTTCATATGTGTATTCCTCACTTTTGGTTCCCAGCAGCCATGGAAAAGCTATTCCAGAGTGGTGCTATTCCAGATATTGCTACATTCTTGTATTGCATCCCACTACATTGCAGATAGCAAGCTCAACACGGGGGATGCAACTAACTCCTCACTGCCACTGAGCTCTGTCTACCAGTTACATAGCCAACCCATGTTTGACTGTCCCCAGCTTACATGGAATTGACTTAATAAAAGCACCAGTAAGGAAGCTGCAAAAGTAATTCTTACCTCCTTCTCCTTCTTTTCTATTTCTGCTTGTTCATTTTCCCAGGCAGCAATAAGCACTTCTTTATATTCCTCACAAACAACGTAGCCATCAGTACTAGGAAGGAGAACACAATCCTCTGTCAGCTACTAGAAGAAAAAAGAGAGGGAGCAAATGCCTGCTGACCCAGACTAACCAAAGGCTGCTGAATGTTAACAGCACAGGTTGTCTGTCTCACAGGCTCTAAGTGTGTAAATCATCACCTATCCTCTCACACAAGTGCAGACTCTTAAAGCATATAAAATCACTGCTCTATGCCAGGGCCACTGACTCCACTGCCACTGCTAGTATGAAAGAGCAGGACATCCAAATCCTTTAGCTGCAGCAATGCAGCTTCACATACACTGGGTGTGAGTAGCCTCCATGAAAATCGAATCCACTGATGGCTTGAGCGCAGTCAATGTCCAGCTTCCGTGCCACTCTGTTGAGGTTGGGTAGTCTCAGCTGCACACAACCGATCGGTAACATGGATGGCAAGAAGAGATAGACGTTTCCGTATTCATTCCGGGGAACCTAATATTGCAAAATTAAAGAGAAACGGTGACACCTCCTGCCCTCCAGTAATAGGTGAAAAACTCTGCTGCAATTCAGAGATTTCACTTTTATTTCTGCTCTGCTACGTTGCACAGCAGTATTCTATTTTCACAGGACAAGACACAAACCTAGATTTCAGCTCCATGGATATCCTGGTTCATGCTCACTGTCCAGGCTTTGTTACCAAGGCTATGGCGTGGCATATCAGCGAAACAAACATGGGGCAGGCAAATTAGATGAACTAAATGAGACAGTCAGCAGCCTGCACTGCTGGCACCCATCTTTATGCGTACTGAGGGCAGGAAGGCGTAACTAAAGTTTTGACCACTACCCGAAGACCGTTACCCCAGAACCCCAAGTTTGGATCCAGATGCTACTGACTGGTCTCACTGCTGAAACATGCAATTTCTTCTGGAAAAATAAAGCCCATAGTTCCATACAAAACACTTCCTTTAATCCCACCCTCTGCCTTTCCAGCTACCTTTCCATCCACTGCCACAGGTGGCTGGAACTCCTCTGTCTGCCAGAGACCAAACAGTGCCAGGTCCTCTTTGTCCCGGTTTGCAGGCTCTGCAAGGCGCGCCTTCCTTGCCTGATTGGAAAATCCCTTCACCATCTGTGTAAATACAGTGGCCAAACTTGTAACACCATAGAAACAAACTGCCAGTTAACTTCAGACTTTCCTGGAACATCAAAGGAGAAGGCTCTGGGAGGCAAAAAAATGCCCATTTCCTATCTTCAGTCTCTATTGCTTATACATAATAACCCATGGCACCAGTATGCAACAGGAAACCAGATCCTCCAGTTCATATAAAAGTCCCAGGATGCCTTCGAACAAGATGAAAAGGGTACAGTTCTGCTAGATACCCTTGGGGAAGGAAGAGCAGATAGCTGGGCATCAGGTAGACCATAGGCACAGCAGGTGTACAGATTCACAATGCAGCCAGCGGCTACCACAAGCCATGCTAGAAAGTGAGAAATGTACATCTACCAGTGGAAGGAAAACAAAAACCACAGCAGAATCAAGTTCAAGTCTTACAGGACAGACAGACTGCACAGGAGGGACACAAGTCCTCTTACCTTGTAGGGCACTTCTCCAATCCTCACCACTCGAGCCTTCTTCAGCCAAGTGTCCTTGGAATGCAGTGTGTGTATACAGTCTCTAAAGAGGCCAGAAGGAAGCAATCATTTTCATTAGGGACTCCCAAACTGCCATCCACATGCCAGGTATGGCTTTCTTACGAAAGCTACAGCCACGTGGTATGCAAATGCTATCTGAGCAGCTGCATGCCTCCTCCTGTCTATGCATGTGGCCTGGAACCTATCGCTGCTACCGTGGTAGTCCTCAAGCAAACTAGCTCTTAAAATTCCTGATCTATTTTGCCCTGACTGCAAAGACACACACACATGTTATAAAGCCTTGCTCATGTTCACAATGCCCTCAACTGCTTGTTATAAAGATCGTAGGCACACATGACAAAACGTGCACTACTCACCTGGAGTAGACAGCCTCTCCCCTGCAGTACCCCAAGATAGCAGCTGACTCAGGATAGATGGCCTCATATTTCAAGAGGTGCCTCTTGAGTGCATAAAGGGGGTGATTTTTGTACTCTCCAATTGCTGTTGGCAGAGGCTGGTCTTGCAGCTTAACTTGAAACTGTAGGAATTATGCAAAGAAGAGTGATTTCACAATTCTCTTGCTCTAGCCTTTTATGAAAATAAGAAAGATTATAGTCTGGATCAAGGGGAAAAAAAAAATCAGAAACTTAATGAGGTGAGCCAAGGGACTGAAGCATTCTTGTTGCAATTAGGTACTTAGATGTGTACTCTGATCCATGTATTCTAAAAGACTCTCCCCAGGAAGGGCAACGCTGAGCTATACAGAAACCACATTATCAGGTTTCTAGTAAGGACTGTTCTGTACTTTTGCTGTCCAGATTTTTCTGAACAGCCTCCATTTGATATTATTTGAATCTGTCATTGTACATTCCCTTTAAAACATGCACATACTCCGTATTTCAAGCTCAAAACCAAACTTCCTTACCCACAGAATGTTTCCTAATGATTTTTGCCTGAATGAGGACCCACGGATTGGACTCTTGGGATTAAATAAGGTTATTTAACCTTATTTGACTCTTGGCCTTAAATAACCAAGTGCCACTTACCTCTCTTTCCTCCTTCTGGTCTCTTTCCATAAAGGGACTTTTATATGGCTGCAGCGTGTCTTCCCACCACACAGGGTCCACACGGCTCTTCCTTGTCGCAGTCATCCACACTGGGTCGTATCTTTGTGTCACATCCTTGACGCTCCCATCGTTGTCAACCCCGACAATGTAGGAAAGAGGCTTTGTGGCATACTTGAAGCACAGCTGGGGCTGGCCGACATTGCCATGAACGCAGTCTACACACACCCACTTGTCCTCACGTTCAAGAAAAACCTCCAGCCACTGGTCTGTGGCCGCCACTTTCCTCACCTCCTGCTCTCCATCATCCTCATCACTAGAAATGATTTTGTTTCTCTTTCTCTGTGCATTAGGCAAGGCAGTAGCTGTACTTTTTGCTGGTTTAGGCGCAGCTTCAGGTGAATTTTTGGATAGCCTCAATTTTGAAGTCTTCGTTTTCAGGCTTTTATCAGCTGTTACCTTTGACTTCTGGGAGCCCAATGACCTCCTCTGCTTTTTAGGTACAGTTTCAAAATCCTCATCAGACAGACTGCTCTCCTCCTCTGAAGCCTCAAAGTCAGAAACGCTGCCCTCATCACTTCCACTCTCTTCTTTGTAACACACTTTGGAGGCCACTCGCCTCCGGCGATCATTTTTGGGCCTGACTGGCATATCTTTTTCTCCTAAACTGCAGTCCTCATTACCAGGTTCCCTCTGTGCTTGGCTTTCTGTAGTCAGCTTTGACTTGCACCGCCTTTTCGTCTGAGCAGTGTTTGGTTTCTCTGGCTCCTTGTCTTTTTCGCTTCCTGAGGATTTCTCATCCTGCCTGGTTTTTCTGCAGAAGCCTCTTTTTGCCACAGCACTGGGTGTTGTGGCAGAACTCTCCTGCCCCTCAGAGGTACTGCTGAGAGACTGCCTCTTGGATGACCCTTTACCCTGCAAAGAGAGAGGCTAGGTCACTTTTAATACAGCTAAGAATATATTAGGAAAACTGGCTTCAATTAACCACCCGAGGTGCATGCAGACCAGAGGTTGGCCAGCACAGACAGTCTGCAGATCTCAGGGACTCTAAAGCTTCAGGTAAATGGTTGAAGAGAGATGTTAGACCACGTCCAACATCTGAGTTAATTTTTCCCAGCTTCAGTACAGACAGTAAAGTGAGCAGCAACTAGATCTGCAAACTAGCTGACTTTGAAGTTAGTCAGCTTGTTATTTAGACTCCATGACAGCCATTGCAAAAGCAAGACGAAACAGATAAAACAGATTCTTTAAAATTAAACTAAAGGCACTTCTATGTTTTCTTTTACAAAATAAGACTTTTCAAAATTAATTCTTTTAAATATTTAATTTTTTTAATTAAAATCAATACCGTGACAACATGTGGCAAAGTTTAGACTTGCTGTAACTCATTACAATGGTATAAAAAAAATGCAGAAGTATTACTCAAGTGGCAAGTGTTTTGCTGTCAAAGTTTTAATGAAATCTAAAACTACTGAAGCATGAGAAGTCTTTACCTAAGCCACAAAATGACAGTTTTTTAAAAAAAGAAACCTAAAAATTAAGGTATTGTCTCTTCTGCAATATAGACAGAACATTGTCATGACCCTGGTTTCATGTAACAAGTGATTCCCTTTGAGCTTCAACAGCCAGAAAGTTTTTCCACTCCTTTTCTCTTACCTACAGTAACATATTCCCTATTCCACCCACTCAATGAAAACTAACCTTTGCTCTTGTTTCCTTGAGAGGAACAGGCTGAAGAGACAGCACAAGACGGCACAGCAGCTGTAACGCTCGAAGAATAATTAAAAATATCTGCAAAAGAAAAAATAAAGGCTCTTTAGCCTCCTTTTCTTAAGGTACATGAAAAAAGGTCTTAAAGGTCTTTAAACTATCTGGGTCCTGTCACGTATCATTTTCATTCCTACCTTTTACCCAGTTCTGTACATACGGACACAGACATGTAGGTAGCAAATTGCTATAGTATCTAAGGGCTGCACAGTCTTCTCTGGCTCTTATTCATGGCATTACAGTGAGAGGGGTACTGCTGTTATCTCTGTCTCAGAGACGAAGAGTGATGCCTAAGGAGGCTCAATGATCTGTCCTGCTGGAGCAGACATATTAAGTTGCCCAAATCCCATCTTCCCTATCAGTCTCTCATTCTGGAGGCAAATTGAAACAAAAGGACTGAATCCTCCCTTCAAAACGTGGCCAAGGCCCATCACATATCATCAGCTGAACCCAGCAAAAACAGCCATTCAGAGAGTGTCAGTGGGCACAGCTGAGTGACTAACAGCTGTGACCTGACAAGTGCCTTCCTGCATGGGATTCAACAGAAGCGGCTGTAATAAATGCCTAAGCAGAACTTGTTATGTTTCCTCCTCCCATCCCAGTAAGTGGTGTCTCTGCATTTCCGCAGTGAGGTCACAAAGCCACCACAGCTATGGCTTCCCATTTTGGGACAGAAAAGCTGCAACCTTCTACTTTATCAGCAACGGGGACAGAGCTGCATGCCAAGCACCTGTGAAGGAACAGCTCATTCAAATCAGTTATTTCAGGAGAAACCTATTAAGCTGGTTTTGTTCAATCTGCACTGCTAAATCAACATAAAGAAGCCAGAGCTTACTGAGGAATAAGCTGCTTTATACAATATGCATAAGACCATCCACAGCAAAATATGGAGCGTGGAGGAACACTACCAGAACTAGGGGCTCCAGTGAGGCACAGCTCAAATTGAAGAATTTAATCACATAAGGACTCCAGGTAAAAATATAAGAGAAATAAAAAGCCAGGGAAACCCCTAAACTACCAATTTGTTTTCTCCAAATCCATCTTTCAAACACCACCTGGTGTATGGCCTGGCAGTTCTACAGTAATGATCTGGCATCCAAATTCAGCAGCCAACCCTGCACTTCCCAGTCACTTACATGAACCAGCTCTTCCTCATCTCGTGCAGCATAGATGGCAAAGCGCCTCTCCAAGGTAGACTGAAGGGGCTCTCCTTTTTCAATAGAAAGCTCATCGTTGACAGTGAAGGTTGCAACAAACCTGAAATACAAGACATCTGCTTATTTTCTAGTATCCTGAGTGTATTATTGTACTTCGTAGCTCCTTTCCTTCACTAAAAAGGAGAGTTCCTCATCCTTGTATTTAAAAACAGAGAAACCACTGAAAATCAAGGATTATGTCACCCCTCCCCGTTAGCCGTGGCTCTAGATCCTACATGATAGCAGGATTAGGAGAGAGAGTTTTACCATTTCACCAGGTTGGAAAGGTAGAGAAGGTCCACTTGGCCTGCAGGCACTTTTGTGAAGCGGGTGGGGATGATGGAGAGACCAACGGCAAGAAGATCTGGCTGGCTGCAGATTCTGTTCCTGTAGAAACCATTTGCTAACAAACACAGGAGATGAACCTGAGAGAAACAAAAGTTTCTATAGTGAGTTCACAGATTTGCTTTGCTGGAACTACTGTCCATGGTAAAGACATGGAGGGCTTTGCAACTCCTTTAACACAGATAGGCAACAATGAAGCCTCCCAAGAGTATACAGGGCGGACCCAGGGCTGTCTTCAGATCAACATGAGAAGTCAGTAAAGCCTTTAAGTCCCTGTCAGCATCTCCTGCTCTACGTTTGACTGACAGTTTAACCTCAACAGAAATGAGCAAATACATGCTCAGTGGAGAAACATACACTCGCTCACATCTGCTTTGCTTTAGAAGTCTACTAATGCAGTCACTGATGTTTCCCAGTTACAATTTAAGAAAAGTCCTACAAACATTTCTCCGGACTACAGCTTTTTTACTTTTTCACTTCTAACCATGGCCCAAAATTATTTTGATCAAAATTAGTTTCTTCGTCATTACACATCAGTTCAGAGATCTTTACGGTTCATCTTCTCCCTGCCAGGTTTTTCTGTGACCAATACCTTATGCGTGTCCTCACGAACCTCCTTGTTGAAACGTTTCATCATTCTCCGAAGATACACCTCAAACTCGGCTTTTCTTTTTTCTCTGCGTAAGTTTACAAAAGAAATGGATGTTGTGGTTTTCTATGGACCTGCCTTTCTAGATTCCTGAACTGTATCAGCTCACAAAGAGAACCATCCCAGAGAATATTCTGTGCCCACTTAGCAAAAGTTTAGTTAATGGCTATGCAAATAGGCATGTAGGATGCATATGACTAATAACATATAAACTCCATGTACCTGACTACTGAGAGCTCAGATATATTCGGATAGCCTAAATTCCACCTAATTTTATGTATCTAGAGTTTCCTACCAGACAGCTTTAGACAGCTCCATACAAAACTTATTACTCGCTTTCTGAATTGTCTGTTTTAGATTACTGCTACCCTTACATTCAGTTTCCTGGATAAACAGTTTTCTTTTCACTGACTAAATCTTTTGACTGGGAGACAACAGATATTCTAGTTGCTTTGCAATGAAGGGCTCGTCTGGATAGTGCCCACCCTGTAACAGTGTGAGACACTGCCAGACCTCCAGCTGCCATGGGAAGAAAGCCCTCCCTGGTAAAATGCTCCCAGACGCTGATGGCATTCATTTGACTCCATCTATTCACCCCCGCAGATATGGCAAACAGAGGCTTTCCACCTTAGCTGTTAGATATTTACAGTAAAATAACACCATTTACCCACAGCTCTCCACGAAGAAACCTATTACTATCCCTGGTTTGGAGATGGGGACACTAATGCACAATGAAGTTAGGGGCCTGATTTTCAAAGAAGCTGAAAAGCCTCCATTCCCACCAACTTCCATTGAAGACTTTTGATAAAAACGTCAGATGAAAAGTCCTCTGTGGATGTAAACTGTCCTCCATCCCATTACCTCAAATCATTCCAAGTCAACAGCCTGCACAGTTTGGGGATTTTCACCCAGAACAGAGCAAATCAGTGACAGTTAACACTGGGCATAGCTTCAACTTTTAAACATCCTTTCACTGCCCCTCACAGCCTCCCCTGTTCTTACCTTCTCTCTCTTTTCTTTGCCTGCTCTGGGGTTTCAATCTCTATCTCAACTGGTTTGCTTGGCAGCTCTGCTGCCGGAACAACAGCATCTTCTTCTAACTTATCCATGACAGGTTCCTGGAGTTCTGGAAAAATAAAATATTATAATTAATCCACATAGAATGGATGCTCTTGGGAGGGCTGCCAATGGGATAAGAACCTACCCGCTCCCAATCATCTGCTCAAACTCAACCTACAAACAGAACGCCCCAGTAATTACCAGTTCTTGCATCTTCTATAGCAGAGTCTGCTCAGCTGTTTTAGGTAGCTGTGGGATGCTAGTCACTCTGCTCTTAAGGAACCCGATCAGCAAAGTCTAATGGCAAGTCACTCTGTCACAAACCCAAACAGGAGAAAGGCCAGTAAAATGATGCAGGTGTGACTTAAAGGGTGCTTGCGGAGGAGAAAAGAAGAAACGGATAGCTCTTCCTGTTAGAAGGCATAAATCTATAGCAGTAAAATATAAAATTATGATCATCATGGTTCTCATCACAGTGTGTTGAGGGGCACCTGACCAAACAGATCAGTTGGTTTCATCTCCATCCTGCCTTGCTAGGAAGTCACAGTTTTGAATCTTCAAACTGTTTCATTCTTAGCTTCTCTAAGGACTAGATAACCCAAACAGCTGAAAAAGTGCTGTGAAGTTGCATCATTTTAACATAATCAGCAGGTTGTCAAATGCAAGGCACTGCATTAGGTCAGTGGTTGTTTTGGTCTTTTTTTACTTTGGAAAAATTCTTAGCATTATTGTGAGATATCAGCTTTAAAAGATACAGATATGCACATGGAAGATACTCTAAGTACACAGAACTCACCTACCTGAATCAAATGAGAAATGGCTGAATAACCAAATTACAAAAAAAAATTGCATATAAGAATATTTACTCCCTAATATGAATAAAATGCAATAAAAGGTTGTTACCTTCCACATCCTCCCATTCATCTTCACTTTCATCATCATCATCGTCAGCATTGTCTTTATCCATCTCTTTTTTAACAGGAGATTCTCTCTTCAAATTTTTCTCCCCCTGAGGTGGCTTCAGTGAGTCACTATGGAAATTATTAAAATGGCTTTAGCATTGGGAAGTGCGGGTGCTTGTTTATTAAAAAAAAAAAAACACAGAGAAAGAGAAACATTAAAAACAGGGAAATAAATGAAGCATGACCTCTGTATCAGTAACAACAGACACAAAGGTTTTGAATATTTGAAGGTATGTGAATACAGATGCCTTCTCTGTAAAGCAAAGCATCTGTGCCATAAACAACCATGGGCTCATTGGGGTAACATTTTTTCCAGTGTAAACTTAAGTCCTGGTTCCGCAAGGCTTTCTAAGAAGGAAGATGCCTGAACGTACAAAAGGTCCCATCCTTCAGAACAGCTTGCACAAACGCGTTCTTGGAGAATTAGTTCACTGAATCATTTCTTCTTACTGAACCTTCATCAAAGTGTACTGAAATCAGAACTGTTTCTGTTTCACCACACATTAGTGGCCAGTTGGCCAGTGGAATGAGACCAACCAATCAGTTTCATGTCTTCTTATTAATTAATTTTGCTATGGCAACCTCCATGGGAAGACCACATTGCTCTTATATTTGGATTCCTAAAAACACAGGGAAATGATATGTTTAAAGGTTTCTGCTGATACTTGTAAACTCAAGTCTCCCCGCAACATTTCTATACATGCTGGGTTCCATGAAACCTCCCTAGCCCCATGAAAAACTAGAATAACAAATTAAAAAAATTTTAGGTTTAAACTATTGAATTTGAAAAGGCTCACGTATCTGCTTCCCCCACAGACCGTCTTCTTCAAGGCCAACTCTGTTTACATTAAGCTACACATACACCAATTTGCAGCACTAGGCCCTAAACAAAAACATATAATCATGAATAAAGAGTTCATATAGGCTCTAAAAATGAACAGTAAGTGAACTTACCTGCACATTTCCTCTTCACTATGACTCCCTTTACTTTCAGTGGTTTTCTTATTTTCTTCTTTTATTACTGATTTTACCCCTTTTTGTTTTGAAGTCTTACTTGTTGAGCTGCAAACTCCAGTACCACAGTCTTCTTCCCTCTTTCTAGCTGGAACTTTTGAGTTTTTCCTTCTTGTATTGGGCTTTTTCTCTTCAAAATCATCCGCACCAGCTAGAAGAAAGGATGAAAGGATGATATGCCAAAGGATGAAATGTCACCTCCACTGCAGTCAGGAGCAATACCTTCACATTGTTCATTAGAGGAGAATTTCACCTACCAGCTACAGAAGAAAGTGAACATTCATAAAGAATACCATTTGAGTATTTGCATAATAAATAGGGAATAACTCAACAACAACAGTTAAAAGAAAATAATTGTAGCGTTAGTAACGTAGTGTTAGTTACTAAACAATAGCAACGTAGTGGGAAAAATACATAAAGATTCCTATAGTCTTACCAATGAGAGCAGCTGAAAAACAAGCATCCTACTTACCACTCGTAAGAAATTATTTTCTTCAGACAACTATTCTGTAAAGCTACTCAGAAGAACTTTATTTAAGGCATCTCCTGGGACGCTGACCACTGAATATAACAGCAACCTTCCAGGTGACACACGGGGGACACTACAGCACGGTGTGTTTTCACAGAAGAGTCATAACTAAGGTCAGCCAGACCCTTAACAGGTCGCTTGCTTCCTGATTTCCAGCCTTTATCAGTGTGTGAAACCCTTAACGTCCTCCAGATAACTTTGTGTGGGCCCTGCTGGACAGTTCGTGCATTGATTTAAATCCCTAATTCATGTATTTCAGTCATACCCCCTCTGGGGCTGTGCAGAAAAGCTAATTCAGTTCAGGGAAGTCACCAAACGATCTTTTACACCTCTGGAAAAATCCAGAGGGAAATATCCCAAACGGAGCGAGGACGTGGGAGAAGCCCGGGATAACGCGGTGTCGCGCTAGGTAGGCAAACGAGCGGCAGGGACGGACCAAACACGAGTTGAGAGAGCTTCTAGTCTTATTTCATGACCCTTTCCAACACCAGAGGCTGCTGAACTCCAGGGCTGTGCTAAGAGCGAGCTGAAATCCCCTCCGTTTGGGTAACAGAGAAGGTCGCGGAGATCTGGCGGGCATCAGCCCACCTGGAGCCTCCCGCTCCGCCACGAAGCACGGGCGCAGGAGCCCCC